ACTTTCTCGTTGCCCCCGTGGCGCCCGTTGACGGGCCGAGGGGGTACCGGGTGTCCCGGAGGTGCTCGGGGGCTGGGGTAGCTGCCTCGGGGCTTCGTGTGAGGGGGGTTTTGGGGGGGGGGGGGAGCCCCCCGGCCAGCTGCGGTCTTCCTGCGGCGGCTGTGGTGCTGGGAGTGCCGGGACGGAGGGACACACACACATAGACACATACACAGAGGGGTTGGGGGGTCCCAGCAGCTTGTGCTGGTTTTTGTAGGACTTCTGACATGCGGCTCCCTGGTGTGGTGAGCTGTCCCGAGTTTGCTGGTCGTGGTGGAGGAGCTCTGTGGGAAGTTGGGAGCTACAGGAGAGCAGCTCCGGCGCATTAGAGTAACCTGTGCGGAGGGGGAAATGCCTCGGTGGGAGGGTGGAGGTGAAGAGAGGAGGGAAAGCCACTGCCTTTCCTTCACCTGCAAGCTAGGGACACTGTCATAGCTCGGATAAACAGTGTTCGTCCATTAAGATTGCCCCTCAGATCTGTTTGTGAGCAAGTAATTTGAACGGCATTAGTATTGACCTAGTGAAATTCAAGTGAAAAGGGGAGCTTGATTACTGTCAGCTTGCTTTAAACCGAGTTGGAAGTAATTATGTAGGTCTGGTCTTAGCAGATGTATCTGTCCCTTTAATGACATCAAGAAATGATTTACTGTAGGTGCTGAATGTCATCTAGCAGTACTCATATTTGCGTGGGAAGGAGAAAGAAGGAGGACACTAGGCAAGTACTAAGTCCTTAGAATTCTGTTTTACATATATCTCCTCGTGTCTTCCGCCCCACCCCCCTGCACCCCCAGGAATATAAGCAGAATTAATTCCCTAATCTTATAACTATGATAATTCTAAAATTGAGTAGCCACTGAGTAGCCCTGGTAGCATCCAAGTTTTCCCTGGTCGCTTACTCAGCCTGGACAGAATTGAGCAGCTCGGAGCCAGATTTGCTCTCTGCAACCAGGGTGTTCTCCTCAGGGTTGTGCTCCGGCAGTTGAACACTGATCTCATAGGTGTGTGGAGTACTTGGGCTCAGCACACAGTCTAGTGGCAGCTGCCATGTTTGTTTAAAAACAGCGAAACAGGTGGTGCTGGTATGGCCTACCTGCTGTGCAGAAGCCTCCTAGCAGAAGGACTTACCCAGGCTGTCGGAGAGCTGTGCTCAGTTCCCCTTTCTGTCGAAGAGGATTTCAAATCTCTTTGCCCACCTTACAGCATAGCGATCAAAATGAGAAGATGAAAGCAGTTCAGGGTTACGGATCGATGGGGTATGCTCCTCACCTCTCCTGCGGCAGCTGTTCTGCAGTACACAAAGTGATTAAAAGTTAACTGAGTAAGAGCACAACAGGGGTATGACACTGTTACTGCAGTTTATGGTGCTCGTGTTTGGGTGAGGATAAGTGGACTCCAATCTGTTCTATAAGGTCTGCTTACATAACAAAGGTTTGGAATGCTACAATGCTTAGAGTGATGTAGCTTATTTTGCTAGTGGTCATTAGTTTAATGTATCTTGTACCAGGCTTATTAGAGTATGTGTGTTGGTATTTCTACACTGATAATGGAGTGTTCATGGAGAGAAGTAATACACCATGCTTGTTCCTCTCTGTTTTTGTCTTTAAAACTATATTGTTTCTGGTAGCTAGCTAATTTTGAGTTCTCAGGGAGTAATGTAACAATATAGGGAGTGTTTTAAATGTAAATACCTGTTCACAAATTCTCTTTTAACATTGAAATTCTACAAATATATGACAACTTAATTCTTTTATGCCTTCACAGTGAAGCTGCAGACTGTTCATATCTGCATTAATGTATAGGGTTTTTTCAGGTT